ACATTAAATGAAGGTAAATTGTTAAAATGTTTGTGTGGTATAGGAAATTAGCTTCGAGATAGTTTTACATTATTACACTGACTTTTGGGGTTCATGAAAGTTGAAATTTAGTATAATATACGTACTTGGTAAGGTTATGGTAGTTGAGATATTGAGAGTACTGTAATTATTTCTAAGTAGAAAGTCAAATCGTGAATGTCTTGAGAAGTTGGAAGACATGTCAGTGCTAAAATGAAAAAGAAAAAGGCTAATAAATAAAGGTAGGATAGTAATAAGTCTCCTCTCCCCCCACCCTTCAAAAAAAATGGAAAAGTGCTTATATAGAGATATATTGTTGACCCTACTCTTCTCGACTACATCGCTTTTTACCCCTCTCTCTTCCTCAACTTCAAAAACAAACGTCCAATACAGTACCACTAAACCAAGAATACAGCATCAAAAAAACACCACAATACATCTATATATACCTCTAGAACCACTAAATCTACCTAAAAATAACTCCATTTCAATAAGAATGAAATTTTTAAAAAGCCGGCTGCAAATACTCAAGTTTAGAATGTCAAAGTATGATACTTTTTGCAAAGTGAACATTTAAAATTAACACCCTCAGGCCTTTAATACTTAATTTTGCATTCGAGTGTCAGTAATTAAATTCCAGGTACAGAGTGTAATATTAGAAAAAATGGCAAGTTTCTTAATATATTTGTGTGTAGTAGAGTAATGTAGCTTTACATAGTTAAAGTTACATTACACTGCTTTTTAAGCTAAAGCTAACTGTATTTATAATAAGAGCTTACTTTAACGTAACACATAGACAAAGATATCAAAAATATCGCTATATGTCTATATATAAACAAAGCTTAAAAAATGTCACTTTATGCCCACCCATAACAAGAATCCAGACGGAAATAGACGCCACAGTACCGTTGTATGCCATTTCAAACACCAAACGAAATAATGCACGTGATTGTTGTTTGATAGGGAAGTTTTACGTCAATGCTCAAAATAAACGTAAATCGCAATTAATTACTTGTGACATAAAAGTAGCGACTATGGTTCAGTACATACATTTTTAACTACTGTAGCTTCAATATAGACTTGAGTGTTAAGATACATTGTATTAAGAGTATAGCGAATTGCTTTGACGGTGTTAAACAAACCTTCACCATCTCTCTTCACGTCTCAAATTATACATATATCTTGCGTTAAAAAAAAAAAAAGTGTGTTTAATAATAGTCAACGTAACATACAATCTCAATAACATTGGTCTTAAAAAAATTCGATAAAGAAAACTCTCTTTATAGTCAACAAAAATGTCAGTTTGTTAGCTTTAACAGATTTTACGCGTTATTTGCCAATTTTATTTTACATAACCTAATATAACTTTTTAACAAAAAACCAGTGAAAAACACTGTAATAGTATAAAGCTTGTGGGAGAAGACAAAGACCAAATTAGGCCGAAAACACTGTTTTATCGCGCACATTAGACGCACTTGAACGCATTGTCTTTTAGATTTGTGATGTTCAAACACAGACAGCTATGTCACATAAGAGTTCATCAACTTGAGGATAAGCGTTTAATTTTTAAAACTACAGTGTAAGTTCTGTATAACGAACCATTTTACTACAAAGACCTATATAACGAAATAATTGAAACTTCCCTAGCGATTCTTTGTACAAGAGTTCTATTGTGTATAAAGAAAAACTTGTCAAAATTCAAAATTTTTAAAATGCTACTCTCCGTCTCCTTAACCGTCCGTCATACCCTAATATCTAACAATTTTAACACTAAACTTAAAGTAAATATAAATTAAAATACAGCAGTAATTTCCTGTCTGAAATAACAAAACATGCTGCTGATTATGTATATTATTATAGAGACCCGAAAACTTAATAACAAAGTTTTGAATTTCAAAACGCAAGCAACTATTATACAAATGTATCAATTACAAATTCGAGTTATAATATCAACTAGCAAATTGTGAACGTTGCATTTGACACGCTAGAAAAAAATGGAGTAACACTTGACGTATTAATATAGAACAGCTTAGAAATAAAATAATGGTAGGAAAGACAAAGACAAGGCTAGACAATTAAAAATTTTTTTGAAATGAAAATTTCAGTTGAAGTTATACTTGAAAGAAGACCAACTAGGCCCAAACTAAGCCGAAAAAAATCAAAAGAGGTTTGGCCAGAACAGCCTTTGTAAGTTCGAAAGCCGGTGCTCAATTCAAGGTTCACAACCCCAGCTTAGGTCCCGCAACGAAAGATTTGACATGCAAAAAGTGTATACCTCCTCAAAAATCATTCTCAAAACTATTTTTTTATTTATATTCATTTAAAATTACCGTTATAAAAACTCGTTTCTTTAATAAAAGTACCATCTTAACAACCCTCTTCTCCCCAAATGCTTTCTTGTTACCTCCTGTTCTCTATTGAACCCAAACAAATATATCTTCTAGAATGTCCACAAATGAACGTTGAATCATCTCCGTTCTGACAACGTCGACTTCAATTCAACATAATTCGACAGCATCACGGCCGACGTCACGAAACTGAATAGAAGTCGTTTGAAAAAAGCTGGGAGAATGTATGAAAACGAATTTACACTCTGATGACGTCGTATTTTGACACAGTTCTTAAACCAATTTGTGCACTTTAGTGGCGACAAAAATAAAACTTGCAAAAACGTTTTTAGGCATGGGGAGAGGAAATATGGGAGGGGTAAAGGAAGAAAGGACCAAGGGAAGAAGAAGATATTTACGTCATTGATCTATGAACAGAATTTGGTTATAGTACAGTTTTATGACAAGATTGTAAACAGTCCAGTAATATTGTAAGATACGTCAGTTTTTTAAAGTGCTACAAATAGTATGACAAACTTGGCATATGTCATACTGTACTTGAAATGTGACGAAAACATCAAAGATCTTTGTGCAAAAGCAAGGAAAATATTAGTGCTACTATACAGGCTTAAACTTAAGACATGGTTAACCTTCGACACAAACAGTTAAGTACATAAAGAGCATATTAGGTACTGTGGTATAATAGAGTTGATTATTCAGAAGTGAAAAATCTGCATAAGCAACTTTTTTCATACTAAACAAGAAGTTTAATCGCTAAGTTAATTTACACTAAAGATCACTTTGTAAAGACAATACCTCCTATCAGTAAACACATAATGTTGGTTTCTTTGGGTTGCTTACTATATAGAAAGAGTACTGTAATTTTTTAAAAATTTTTAAACGCAACCACAAACACTCAAAAATACGAGCAATCTTCTGACGTTAACACAGTAAAAACACAATCAAATAGAACACAGTAAATCCTTGCAAATTCAAAAGCCGACTACATCACCAACAACAATATCCTCGGCCGGATCTATTCTCTTCCACGGCCATTGTCAACCCAAAAGACGAAACATCGTTTGACGTCAAAACGAAACGTTACCTTTTATATAGACTGTTGTGTAATTAAAGTACGTTACGTTCTATCGTGTGTATCATGTTCGAAACAAATTGATGTAATCCGAGCATATAATGTGCTACATGAACGTGTTGAGTTCATAACGTTATGAAGACGTCACAGATCAAATTTAGAGTTTGTGAATGGAAGACGAATTTTTTTAGTAGTAAAATTGTTTTTTGTATTTTATAAAGTTTCAAAGCAAATTTAAATTTCTATTATAACAAACAAGCAGTAATGGCTTAATCGGCTGCGGCACCGTTCAATAAACCACCGAACTAAGGTTCGACCGAGCGTTCTGCCTGACCAGGACGTCTTTGTAATTTACAAACAAATGAAAAGCGCTAAGTGCACGAAAGATGTGTCAAAGCGGTTGTTTGGTCTACACATGCTTTTAACTACAGCTTAAAGCCTTGATGAGCATCTTATCACAGCTCAGTAACTCGAGAAACAGGATCACCTAGATAGAACTCAATTGGAACTGCTACATAGATTGCTTTGACAGTCTTCACTAAACTGTCATCATCCCTCTTTACATCTCAAATAATATTTTGAATCGAAAAAAAAATATTTAAAATTTTAAAAATTATTCTATGTTGTAGTGCTTAAATACACTGTAACGCAGATTATGATGCAGTTTTATACATAATGCTTCAATATTCTGTAATACAACTTCTAAAAGTTTGAAGTTAGTGTCAGCCACAGCATTCCAAACTTTTAGAAAAAATGTCGGTTGTAATTTTTGGGTTAAAAATGAAAACTATAATAAACATATAAGAGAAAAACAAGAAAATAAACAAAAAATAAATAAAAAATCTTATTTTTAATATATAGAAAAAAAATTGTGCTTTTTAAGCATATACAGTTCATATATGTTTAGTAAGTTTGAAATTTTGAATGATTTTTTAATTTTTTGCTTACTTTAATTTTTAACTACTTAAAGCTGACCTTTGGAATTGGCTTTAGGCATTGTTTTTATGCTCATTTTGTAGCATTTTTAAAGTTCTACAAAATGAAGGTAATCATAATCGATTTTTAACTAAGGTTTTTTTGTTATACTCCATAATCTTGTTTTTACAGTACAAATTAAATAAATATATATGAAATATAACACAACATAACTTGAAAATACAAAAAATTAATCAAAAATTGCTTTGTCAGAACTGTTTGTAATCGTATCAAGAATGTTTTTGCTAAATTTGACATTTTTTGGACTCAAAATTTCAAACTTTCAACAATCAAGCCTTGATTCCAGTTGGTTTTTACGCATTCTTAATTAAATTTAAAAAAAAATAAAGTTTAAAATAATTTTTAAAAAACTTTTTAATTGTTTTTTGCTACATACTTCATAATTAATCATGAAAATTTTTAAATATTTAAATTTTTTTTACATTTTTTATTTACAAATTTTTCATTTCTACAATACTATTTGATACTTGTTGGGTGCGTTTTAAAACGTTTTAACTTAAAATTGTAAAATGAAGCTAAATTTACGTCGAAATGTAAAATTTCAAATTTTGTGTATGCTAATAGTGATGTACATGATAATAAAACTTTACTATTGTAAAGAGGAAGGGAAAGGTAAGTTGGTACTTAATTTTTTAATATTTTGAATTTTTAAATTAAAAAATTTTTTTTACATTTTTTTTATCTTAATGTTTTAGTATGACAAATTGTAGCATTATGTTTTTTTAAATTTAAATTTTTTTTTCAAATATTTAAATTGAAAATTAAAATTTTTTCAAATTTTTTAAAAGTTTAAAATCAGGCGAAAGAGTTGTAAACATTCCCTACGAGTACACGTTCAAGCCTCACCGAGCTGCCAAACATTTGAAATGCTCAAAACTAATCCGTAATTCAACTTACTACACTCCAGTTGTCATTGAGGACAGTAACACTTTAGATATAAGTTGTAAAGACATTCGGAAACGAGGCAATTTTGTGAACAAAACTTATGAAGATGAAGCTGACTTTCCGTTGGCGTTTGTTAGAGCTGTCTTCAGGGTAAGGTTTTTGAAAGTTGAGTAATTATGGTCAGGACGGCCAGTAGTAGATGAGTGATATAAAAAAAATAAAAAAAATAATTTAGCCAAACAAAGTTTAATTGAAAAAAAAACTTTTTAATTCTAAACTTTCAGGACTATGAATACCTAGAAGCAGATCTATCGACTCATTACAATCCCAACAATGTCTACTGTTACGTTATGGATTCAAAAGCTGATGCCAAGTTCAAAGCCAGATTACGAGCTCTGTCTACATGTTTTCCCAATGTTATTGTAGCTGATAAAGAGTTTAAAATGAGTTCAAAGGGGAGAAATGTGAATCCAGCTCAATATCACTGTTTGGAGAGGCTTTTGGATCGGAACTGGAAATATGTCATGTTGCTTGAGGTGAGATAACATTACGGATTAAAAACTTTGTTTTTGGCGTAAAGTACACTAATATGCAATTTTTAGGTATAGACGTAAGAATAAATTCACGTATGATATAAACTTAGGTATTGAAATAAGGGTACAAGTACGATTCTAATAATATATAAACCATATTTTTAGAATCATGACATTTTGACAAAAACCAATGCTGAATTGGTGCAAATCTTTCGAGTTTACAATGGAACAAACGATGTCAAAGCCATTAATATGAATACTTTAAAGAGAGATAGAGATCGAGTTGCATTTTTGTACAGAAATAACTATCATCTAGACAAGTTAAATATATTCAAAAATAGTAAGTTTTTTGCATTTTAAAATGTTAACATTGACATTGCTATGCTGATTTTTGACTAAAAGGGTAGATGATTGAAATGGGTTGGCTTGAGTACAGCTAAAATCGGCAGTGATACCCATAAGTAGGGCTAAAATTAGCTGGGGTATGTTTGGACAAAGCTAAAATAGGCAGTAGTAGGGTTAAGTAAAGTTAAAATTGGCATGGTTTAGCTTGGGAAGGACTAGAATGAGCAGGGTTATGTTAAGATCAAGCTAAAATAAGTAGTGGTTGGCGTGGATAGAGTTAAAATAGGCAAAAGTAGGGTTGAGCGGGGCTAACAGTAGCACATTTTGGCTTGGGAAGGGCTAAAACGAGCAGGGGTTAGACAGCTAGGATTAAAATTAACAACAACATGCTTGAGTAATACTATAAAGACAAGGTAATAAAGTCATGACTAGTGCCTTACCTAGAATACTATAATTTTTAAAAATTTGGAACGGATTTTAATTTCATTTGAAGGTTCTCTAAACGATCCAGATCAGCGTTTAACTATAGTCAAAGGCGTAACACAAGCTGCCTTAACATACGAATCTGTACACTACATTTTCAACGTAGGTTATGTTGTTTTACATTGGATTTAGTATTTATTCGTTTGTTAAAATACTCTTGTGCCTTTTTTCAAAGCAGTGTGACACCGAGGTTAACAGGTCCGGAACACGTTCTTAAGTGTGATACTGTAGGGGTTTGACTGTAGTAGAACTTTTATTGTACATTTGTCTGTATAATGTTGAGCATAGCTTTGATTATGGCTAAAAGTGGCTATTGGTCCTAAAAAAATCAAGATTAAAGTGATTGTTTTAAAAGTATTTTAATTGTATTATATAAATTTAGGTGTTGAACATAAGTTTTATCGTTTTAGGAGCTGAACATAACAAAGCTGATGAAAATTTTGAACAAAGACTACTACGAACATGAGCAACTTACCAGCACGTTGAATGCAAATGAAGTGTTAAAAGTGCCTGGAGGTTTCACGACAAAGTTTCTGTATAAATTGAATTATTCTCATATGACAAGGTGGGTTTCTTATTAAAGATTAATAACCTTGCTTTTTAGTTATGTTTTGTGGCAGGCGGATGAGTTTTGGCTGGAAGAGGGGGGAGGACAAAAATTTTTTTTAATAATGGTTCTACCGCTTGATTATGGCTATCACGTAACATTTCTGGGCTTATTATAAGTTCATTTACAGAATACTGATCTTATGTATCTTACCTTTTTTTAGATATACCCACTGGGGCAGTCAAAACTGTAATTCAAAGCACATCCGGAACAATGTTTGTGTCTACAAGATGCCCGACCTCCGCGATCGTCTGATGACTATGCCAGAGTTTATCTACAACAAGATGATGCCTTCGGTTGACTTTGGAGCCATCAATTGTTGGCATGAATACATGTTTAATAGAACTCATATTCATAGAAATACGACAGTGAACGAGGAGTTGTATCGCAACTTACCTCCAGTTCAGTGGCATAACGGGAGGAACGTTGTCATTTCGAAGTAGAGTTAATAAAGGTGTAGATACCAGTTTTGATAGAGTTATTGATAGAGGTTTTGATAAAGGTGTAGATATAGATTTTGATCTGTTTATAACTTTTTTGGTCTTTTGAAAAATGAGTTTAAGTCTGCACGGTGCAATGGAAAAATCACGTCTGTTTACCTTATTGCATAATATAATCTTCAGTATTTTGTTGTGTTTTTCGTAATTTTAAAACTTTTTTTAAGTTCAAATTGTGTAAAAAATATGTCAAGGTACTACAATGTCAATACAACCAAAATTTATTCTTCAAACTTTTGATTTGAATCTTTAAATTGCAACAAACAGCCCGTTGTCTAGCGATCGCTCTACTTTAAGCACTAATTTTTCATTTTCAAATTCCATTGTTGATGTTACCATAAAATTTGATGACAACATGGTAGTCGTAAAAACAATGTAGCAATGCCATAATTTTGAAAAGTGATGGTAGTGAAGCAATGACAAGGTTGTGGTAATCGACCAACAGTACCATTAAAGGCTACCGAGAGGGTTGGCAGCTCCAGCAAAGTCAGAGAAGATTCCAGTCAATGGATTGTCAACGCCGTTTAAAGGATCTTGGGCAGCGGCTGGAAGTGTTGGGACGGCCGAGTTCAGCATTTCAATTGGATTGCCTGGGATTTGTTGGAAGGCATCGCTGGCTGGGTCTAGGGCATTGGCTGCAAATAATTTTTTTATAATTTGTAAAAAATTTAAAAAATTTTTAAATTTTTAATTTTTCTATAAACTTTTTGACCTAGAAAAGGTAAAACAAAAATGGTATGTTCATGCTACAGAGGTAGTAGAATTATAGTTCTTATGTTATTATACTCACAAGCTACAAAGTTGACTCCTTCGCCGAGATATTGAGGGACGGCAGAGGCGGCCGTTCCAAACGGAGCAAAGCCAATTGGTTCAAAGACACTATCAGCGACACTAATTGGACTGCCACCAGGCAACAACGAGTTGAAAGGTTGGAAGGCAAGGTCAGCTGCTCCAGATACTGTGTCTAAAACAATATTTAAGGTAGTGAGTCTATAATGAGGTATAAAATACGGTGTAGTCAATGCTATAGTTTTTAAAATAAAATTTTAGATACTGTAACATTTTAAAACTAGTTTTATGTAAAATTTTATTCCAATTAGCATTTTTAAGTTGTTAAAACGTCCACAAAAACTTACTTTCAATGGCATTAGCACCTTGGCTAAGAGCCGGTGGCACAGGAGCGTCATCGACAGCCGGTTGGACAGCTTGTTGTAGAGAGTTCACTATTGGTTCTGAAAATTGCATAACTTTGATAAAAATATGCTTTATAAGCATTTTACATCGTAATTACTTTTTACATAGTAAATTACATTAAAATTCATCAATGTTTATACGACTTACCAAGGGGTGCTCCTTGAACTGCAGCGACTACAACAATCAACACAGTAGACACAAAAGAAAGTCTCATGGTGAATAATATGAGATGGCAAACTTTTGCATACCTATTTCGTCTATCTGTTAGACTTTTATACTGACTTCAGAATACTATAATTTGCATAATTTCTAGTATTAATTATGCAGTATATTCACAAAAGTCACGTTATTCCAATGTTTTTTGTGATTAGTTGCTCTGATTGTTTTAATAAACAAAAACAATGTGATCTCAATATTATGCAAAATCAATATCTGTGTAATTACTTTATTGGGTTTTAGAGAACACAATTCTAGAAAAAAAGTCTAGTAACCGTATGCAAAAGTGCTGTATCTGCTGTTTTTCAATATCTTGGGAAAGGAATCAATGCCCTAACTTGTGTCGATAGCAACATACATTATTATTATGTCAACGTGTCTTAGTTTTAGTTTACTGCTTCTAGGTTTAAAATTTTATAAAAAAATCAAAAATTCAACAAATTTTAAAATTTAAAAAAAAATTTTTTTGAAAAAATTGTGCCTTTGAACCATTTGGTTTTGTTCCATTTGAAACGGTCGCCTCCACGGTTCCTCAATATCTGGACGAGTGTGTCAACTTCGTAGCTTGTGAATATAATAACATAAGAACTATAATTCTACTACCCTTGTAGTAAAAACAGTATCATTTTTTGTTTTTCTTTTTCTAAGTCAAGAATTTTATACAAAAATTAAAAATTAAATACACTTTTCAATTTAAAAAAAACTATTTCCAGCAAATGTTTTAGACTCAGCCAGCGACGCCTTCCAACATATCCAAGGCAATCCAATTGAAATGTTGAACTCAGCCGTGCCAACTCTTCCACCCACTGTGCAAGATCCATTTAGCGACTTTGACAACTCATTGACTAGAATCTTCTCAGACTTCGATGGAGATGCAAACCCTATCAGTAGCCTTTAATGGTACTGTTAGTGTACTACCATAAATTCAGGCGTTATTATTTTATATTGTTATCTTATTTGAAATTTTAAATTATTTTTTAGTTAATTTATTGACGATTTTAAACACTTTTTGGTATAACCTTTGACATTTGTGGGTATTACTTTACTTATTTTGAATACCTACACCACTAATCAAAACTTCAATCCAAAGATATTTTTACCATTCCAACTACTTTTTAAAATTCCACTACCATCAACAAAGTTTTAACCAAATTTTGACCAAGTTCGAAAGCTCAACGAGCAATTAACCATGAGTAATGTACAGCGGCGCCCTTGTTCCTTTTGTATTGGGTCTATTCTCTCCACGTGTGTTCAGCTGTCTAAAGGAAAGACAGCTGGTGAAGGATGGCTCGTAGCGAGGAATGGCTTCGAGTAAGGATAACAGATCTTTGAAGATTGTAGAAGATGTGGTGAAGGTTTGGTTATGTCATCTGGCCTGGTTTAAGATAGATCTACAAAGAAATTACCTAACCTGTCTTACTCAAAGTCACCTGAAAATTTTTATATCAGTTCTTTGTACTACTAATAGTATTCATAAAAAAATTTTAACTTGCGCTTTTAAGTTTTAAATTTAAATTATGTTGGTTTCCTGCCAATTTGGCATTCTGTTTCAATTACCTTTTTAGACTTTTCAAACAAGCTACGCTTACAAATTTAAAATTATAGGCTTATTTAAAAAAGTTTTCCACCAGCATAATAAAGAAAAATGATTAAAATTATAGAAAACAGTAATTTTATAATCTGAAACACAATGCCAATTTGGAGGAAAATTCAAAACGTAATTTTTTTCTTGATTTTTCTGCAATTTCCTGAAAAAGTGATTTAGTACTTTGCTAACGATCATATTAATGTTAACATAATTTTTCTATAAGTTTAAAATCATTCAGAGCCGGGCAAGTTTAGTACTTTCCTTGTTAGCTGAAATTTATAAATTTAAAAAAATTTTGTCAATTTTAATTGTTAGAAACCTTAATTATGAAATTAAAGTTAAACACTATTTGTCAACACACGTTCTGATTCATTTTGTAAATCAATTTTTAGAAATAAACTTTTTTAAATTTATATTACTGCCATCTTATTATATGTTTAGGTGTTACAGTGTAAATTTCCAAAACGTGTAAAGACAACCACAGAATATTGAATTCTTTAGTCCATTGTTTCACTACCAACATACATACATACGTATAGTGTGTGTTACTTTACGACAAAGAAAGATGCGAATAAACAAGAATTTCGCGCCAAAATGAGCAAAATAAGGTCAAATATTGGCTGCAGACCAATAATATCTTCTAATTTTATTTATAACCTTTTAAATTCGTGAGCGCACCTGGTCTAAGACGTCAAAAAAGTGCTTGAAACACAATGCCAAATTGGCGGAAACTCAAATATTTCAATTTTAAAACTCAAGCTAAATTTTATTATGAGTACTATTGGTGGTAAAAAGAATTCAAAAAAATATTGCGCAGGCTTTGATTACGGCAGGTTAGATACTTTTCTTGTTAATTTGCAAGATATATGTGTATTTTGAGTTTCCTATTACTAAGAATGACATTTTATGATAAATAGGTGTACATTTGTGCCATTTTTTTAATTTTACCTTTACTTTTTAATTTTCAAAAAAAATTTAACTTTTTTATATTGTCATGATCTCAAAAAAAGTTTTGTCGTTTATTTACGTGCACTTTCACAACAAAAAACGACAAGACTTTTAAAACAAAAAATCAATTTTGACTCAAAAACAATATTACATAAGAAATAATCAAGTCTGACCTCAATCTCTCGCTAATTTGGAAATCCTCACCTCACCTGATGTCCAGCTGTTCGTCAAGATCTTTATTGTGTCCTAGTCATTCATCTCTGTCTACTTTTAGCTAGCTTATTTTAGTTTGCAAAGAGCACCAAAAACACCTGGTTCAAGGTTTTTAAAGTGCATTTTAAAAATATTGAGTTATATTGCTACAAATTTATTAGTTTTGTGGCTTTTTATTGTTCTTCTTATTGTATTATAGCTTGTCATTTTAGAGTTGATTAATCAATTTTTACTTTTAAAATTTTATTCAAAAAATAAAGCTATTTGGAGATACAGTATGTGAAAAAGTATTTTTAATAAATATTCTACTATAGTAGGTACATTTAATCGAGGGTAATGAGATGTTAAAATAAAGAAGTATTGTCGTTTTTTAGCCTGGAAATGCATGGAACTTGACGACAAGACTTTTTAGACTTAATTGCACTACAAAAATAATTTTAGAGTACCATCTAGAACGTCGCTTTGAATTTTTTTCAAAGAGAGAAGTGGAAATACCTCCATTTACTAAATCTTCTTCCAACCTCCTCCTTACAGCTACATCCCTTAGTACTATATTATTAGGTTGTTCATATAATTCTGCGCCCTTTTCTAAGCAATTTTTGAAGATAAGGGGCACATAATTATTTGAAGAACCTCATATTTTTATATCATTTTTATAGTAGTATCTTGTCTCTATAATACTTTTCCAGCACTATTATCTCCTTAACGTATCCACCTGCTCGCTTTTGTTTTGTCATCAAATCCCCCCCCTCTCCCTATTTTAACAAAACGTTAAAAATCATTTTTCTTTTTTATCGAAAATACTTTGAGAAATTTTCTGTTCCAAAAGAATTGCATAAAATTTTTTATTTTTTGGTTTTCGGCCAATTCGCCACAATTTCATTTCGAATTTCAAACCGACTGCCAAAGCGAGTATCTCGCGAGTCCGCCTCAAGGCATTTTGTTCGCCGTTTATTCGCATTTTTATTTGACTACACTCGCTCTCGACCCGACCCCTCCAACTGGCTGTTTTCTCGACTTTTCGGAAACAAAACAATCTTTTAAGAGAATCGCTCGCCCATATCTTGTTTGGCAGATATTGGAGAGAAAGAAAACATTTGAGGATTTCGAAATTTAAAAAATTTTTGAAATTTTGAAAAATTTTGAAATTTTTTAAAAAATTTTGTAATTTCGAAAAAAAATTTAAAAATAAAATTTTTTAAAACTTTATTGTTTTGAAAAAAATTTTAAAATTGGAAAAATTTTTAAATTTTAAAAATTTTTGAGGTTAGCATTAGGCTGTTCAAATAATTCTGAGCTCCCTCTCAAAAGGAATTTATGAAGTTAGGTAGCTCAGAATCACTTAAAAAACCTAATATTACTATTAATTTACGTTTAAAATAATAGTCATGTATATCATACGTTTGTTCCCAGTAAAAGTTTTTACACTGTAGTATTCAACATAACCAAAGCTGACTCCACAAACATCTGAGTATGACAATTATAATTGTATGCGAAATGCTATAGCAACCAGTAATTATAACAAGTGCGTGCTTGCTGCCACTCATACCTTGCCCAACAGAATAATGTTATAAATCTTAACGAGTCCCTAGTTAGTTGTTTTTCACTTTTATGAAATTGTCATTGCTTTTGGCTAACGAAACAAGCGTTTTGAAAAATGTGAAAAGTATAAATTGAATAAAAATATATTTCAAAGTTTAAAAAATAATAAAAACATACGTTACAATGCAATGATAATAATACCAAAAACCGTAACTTTTATTTCAAAATTAAAAAAAAATTTAATTGACTTTTTGAATTTACAAAAAGTACCTGCCCCACTCAGAATCAGCTTAAAATTTTTATATGAATTCATTTTACCACATATATTGTCTATAAAAAATTTTAGCCCACATTTTTGAATTTTAAATTTTAAACATGTGAGTTTCCCGCCAATTTAAGCAATTTTGGCATTATGTTTCAAGTACTTTCGGCTTTCTATACAAACTACGCTTACAACTTTAAAAATGTAGGTCTGATTAAAATTTTTTTACTAATATATCGAAGAAAAATGCGTAAAAGTCAAAAAGTGGCAAATTTTTAAGCTTGAAACACAATGCCAATTTGTCAGAAAATTCAAAACGTATTTTTTATTTTAATTTCCTCAAGATTTACTACTAATTTACTTTTAAAATAACGTTTAAGACGCAAAAAGCTTTTCAGTCAGCCTAGTATAATATGCAGTTCTTAAAGTTTTCATGGCTTAGATTATTCAAATTTTTGCTCGTTACGTCTTACCTAGAGTCCCGTGTTTTCAGTTTACCTAAGATGCTCTTCTGTAACTTTACTTGAGGTATAGCTTGTCACTATAACGATAAGAGCTCCTATAGCAATTCCAGTTTTATTATGACTAGACTTGTAAGAGAATTTTCTTTGTATTAATAGTTGACATCAAAAACTTTTACCATCAATTTATGTTTAGATATTTACGCGTTTTGTAATTTTGTAATACGACTAGATGAATAACTCTACCCATCGCCTTTGTTCTTTCGCCAATTCTTTAGTCTTCTTTTACTACGTGTAGCTAGAACATTTATTGTCTACTGCTCACTCAACTCGGTCCCTTGCCTCATTTTGTCAACGCCTTCACCTCCAACACCAACCAGCCAACGCCCTTAATCGCGCATATTTCTTCACTCATATTCATTCATCTTCGCATCGGCGTGTCCTCGGCGGTGGGTTCGCGGAGGCATGTTATTCCCTCTGTTTCTTTGCTCTCTTCTCTCTTCAGGACCCCGCTCGCTTCTTTCGCCCGGCTTCTATCGTTCAATGCACTCGCGAAGACGGGCAGCCAACCTTCTGTTCAAGGCTCGTTGAGAGGCGTCTTTTTCGAATTTAGTGCTCGCGAAAAATCGAATTTTTAGGGTTACTAGTAGAGAGTTGGGATGGATTTTTGAGGTTACTAGTAGAGAGAGAAAGAAGGTTTTTTAGGGCGATTTTTTAAAGCATAAAAATTGGACTTTTAAGGCAGAAAAATAGCATAATTAAAGTTGTTGCTAGAGGTTAAAAATGATTTTTTAGGTGCAATATGAAAATAAAAAATTATTTTTAGGCCGTAAACTGGGTGATAAAAACTAAATTTTTAGGCATTTTTATAAGATAAACAGAAATCTTTTTCAAAAAAAAAATTTTTTAAATTTTTTTATTTTTGATTTTGACAGAATACTATTTTTAATGCTAAAGTACTAAAACTAGGCTTTAAAAAACTTAATTTTTAAATTTTTGTATAACAAAAACAACCCTCTCCCTTTAGAACTCTATTTCCAAACTCTTTTTCGTTACTCTCTTTAATCTCCACACTCTTTTGCTAATAAAAATCTCAGCAAACCGCCAACTGTCTGTCATATTTTCAAAACATCTCTACTAACTGTTTGTTCTCTAGCCTATTTGTAGAACAGAACGTTCTTTTCTCGAGCCTAGTTGAAGAATAAAACGTTCTTTTTACTCGCAACATTACACAGTTCCGTCTTTTTTAGTAAATATGAGAGTAGGCCATTTGGAAATGCTGGCTGTTTGGTTATTTGAAATACTGTTTAGTTATGTGAGTTATGATTTTGCGCTATAGTGCAAGCGTATGCCTAGATAGTGAAGATTCAAGAGTTTCTATGAAATACGATGGTGGTTAATTTTGTAATTAGTAGAGGGCTTGAAAAATTAAAAAATAGTTTTTGAGCGAAAGAGAAAACTTTTTAGCGAAAAAACAAAAAGTTGCTTTAGGGACGATTTCAAATTTTAAAATATTTGGCTTAAACTATCGAAATGTCTGCTTATAAAAGCTTATAAAACTTAAACGTTAAAGTCATTTTTATTTATTATGTTAGTTTATTAATGTTTTTTGTTTACCGTAGTAAGTTCTAAAGGACAGTTTGCATGCTATCCATGTCACAATCGCGCGCCATTTTTTCACTCGCAATAAGTCCCGCTGAGGCCAGCTTGTTTACTAGCTAATGTCTGCTCTTCTCGCCATTACCTTATGCTTGAAAATTTTCTGCTTTTACTTTACTTCTCAGGTTATACACTTTGTTTTGAGAAGGCTTTTAGTAGTTTTACTAAAAGTTTTTGCTTTATAATATTTATCTTAATTATGTCTTCCTTACCTAGTTTCTTATTGTATAAAATCTACGCCTTTTTTAACTAGTATTTCTCGCCATATCGCTTTATTTGTAATTTCTATAAACCCTTTTCATGGCAGCTTGCCACAGTTTTAGCGAGTCTTTCCTATCTTATGCCACTAAATTTATTTCATCTCATCATGCCATTTCAGCGAGCTTTTCCTTTTTTTTCTACCATGTTAGCTATTGTTCTCCATCACTCTTCTAACGAGTCTTTTCTCCGCTATTTCTTGCGAGTCTTTCCTACCTATCCTGCCATGTTGGCTAGTCCTCTCTATTCTTCTCGCTATGTTAGTTAATCTTACTTGCTTTTCTCGGCATCTTAGCTAGTTCTCTCTGCTCTTCTCGCTATTTTAACAAGTCTTCTCTACGCTTTGCCTCTACTTTTTGCGAGTCATCTCTACTCTTCTCGCTATGTTAGCTAGTTCTCTCCACCCTTTTTGCCATGTTAGCTAGCCCTCTCCCCACCCTTCTCGCCATTATAGCGAATAGTTGTTTCCAGCGCGTCGTGTGTCTTAGCGAGTCCTCCGCTCTTTCCTAGTCCTGTGCTCTGCGACGACGACGGACCGACCAACGCCCGGTGGATGGTCGTCTTTTGAACCCCCTCCTTGCTTCGTCTCTCGCTTTCGTCGCCCCACCGAAAGGGTTGGGTTGTTCGCCTGTCCATGGGGCGGGGGGGGCGTTTCGGGGGGCCCAGCCGGCGAAGAAGAAAAAAAACCCAAGGCGGAGGGGGACATCGGGTTGGCGGCGGGCGAAACGGAGAGCATAAAGCAAAAGGGAGGGAGAAGGAAGGGAACCGAGTTTGGCGCCGTTTTGCCACTCACACTCCACTCCTCTACAATCTTACATTTGTGCTCGGCATTCGGCGAGGTTGTCGCCGGTTGTGCACATGTCGTCGAGCATGATGCGGACAACTGGATCGCCGAGCTTTTCGTGGTTTTATCGCGTTTCCCTACCGTGTTGTCGTGTGTGCAGCCCGTTGGACTTGGTATGAATCGTTTGTTGTTTTGCAGAGACCTTTGCTTCGCGTTTTTTAAACCACAGAAACCCGCCAACAATGAGCGAAACCAAGGCCGAGAAACGCCCTCACACCGAAGAGAACGGCGAAGATGCTGAAGTGACGGCCAAACAGTCCAAAGTCGACCAGATCAAGGAAGCCAACAAAGAGAGTAAGTGTTTGACCATGTTGTTGAGGGTACGGTAGGGCTGGTTGGGAATGTTATAGTACAGCATATGCTTAGTATTAAGGATTTTAGCTTAGTATGTTAAGAGTAGTTATAGAGTTAGCAATAGGTCTATATACTTTAGTATAAAAAACCAAAAAATAAAAATTAAAAAAAATTTTTCAAGAAATAGGGCAACTTTTATAGGGAGAGGAGTATGAGGGAGCGAGAAATATTTAGTGTTTTCGAGTACGTTAGTAATGCACTTTTTGTAAACATGTAAATAAAACACATATGAATGGAATGCTATTGCTTTCATTGAGATTAACACAAGTTTCTAGGCCAATAAGTACTAAAACAATAGCTAATAAAGCTTTTACATGGCTACTACTTTAAGGATTTTAGAAAAATCTTAGTTTTTAAATGTTGGCAGGTACTGTAACTTCTATATGTACATAAATTCTATTAAAAATTTTTTAGTTATTGTATTTTAAAATATCTTTTTAGTAGTGTAACTTAAAGTACGTTGAACTTGTAGTACTAGTAGAAGATTTAATGTAAGTGTAGCTTTATAAAACCTATAAGCCTACTTATTTTTAAAATAAAGCACCTTAACCAACCTAGACTTAGCACATTCCCTTTGCCAACGTATTTACTATAACATGCTTGTTATTCTGTCCACAGCGTATTATTGTGTTATTCTTTTCAGAAGCCAAAGAGGTCGAAGAAGTAGAAAACGAGGAGGAAGGCGACGACGGCGAAGAGTCGTCGAACGCGGAATCTGGCGCCGAAGACGAGGAGGAGAACGACGTGGACGACGAGGAAGAGGACGATGTAGCCGGCGACGACGGTGACGACGCCGAAGACGGCGGCGAAGAAGACGATGGCGAAGAAGAGGAGGAGGAGGAGGAAGAAGAGGAAGAGGAATAGAGCCTTGTTGTTTATTTAAATTTATTTGTTTCGCCCTCCCCACCCCCTCTTTTTCCACCCTACCCACCCCTCTCCCCCCTACCTCTCAATGTACCTTTTCATCCCCAAATTTGTTATGTCAATTGGATTTTGTTGTCTTATTAAAATAAGTGAGTAAAAGTCATCAGAGTTACATCCATGACATAGCCCGTGCAAAGCGTTATGTCATAACCGACATCACACAAATGGTCTCCAATCAAGGTCGGTCGTCGCCAGCACGATCGTCGGGATTTCGTTTTGTTTTTCGTGTCTAATATTGTCTTTTATGTCTTTATTATTATTGTAAAACAGAATAAGGGAAATAAATACTTTCTCTGAGTGGATGGGGGCTATACCTACAAATTTTAAAACTAAGGGTAAAAGTTTGAGGCGACATGAAGGCTAAAATATTAAAAAATAAAGTTAAAAAATAAGCTTAAAAAGAAAAAAATTAAGCTAAAAATGTAAAAACAAACCTAAAACACATAAAAATTTGCTTAAAACGCATTAAGATTAGGCTTTTCTAACTAAAATGACTTTATAACCTCAATATTTTTTGAAGAAATCATCAAAAATGTTTCGAAGTCATGCCCTAAATTAACACACAACCATAAAAACTAAATTCACACCGCTCAAAACAATCAAAGACAACATTTCCAACTCCAGAACACTCCCATTAGGCAGTGAATAACGTCAATAATCAATATTTACCATTTGCATTATAAATATTGAAAAAACGTTGACGTTTGGATATTTCCCAACTAACAATAAAAAGGATCGTTCGACTGGAAAAAGGCAAAAGAAGAGAGAGAGAGTGTGCTCACGGTGAGTGTGTACGCCCATAGCCCGTTGAAAGCACGCCATCCCGTCCGATCTGGCAAGTTAAGCAACGGTGCGCTTGATTAGTACTTGGATCGGAGACGTCCTTGGAATCTCAAGTGGCGTACGCTTTTTGAGACTGATTTGACAATTTTTTTTAAAGTTTAAAACTAAAAAATTTGTGGTTTTTATAGTCGAAAAACTTTTGAATTTTAATATTTTTGCAATTTTAACACAGCAATGATTTTAAAAATCAAAAATTAAAAAATAAAAATAGAAATGACAAAAGGCTTAAGCTACTCGAGATTCCAAGAACGTGTCTGATTGAAGTATCAGTATTTCCCGAAAAGAATGTCCCTCTGCACGGTGCAGTCCTTGGGAAAAACACTAATCAAGCGCACTGTAGCTTAACGTGCCAAGTCGAACTAGATGACTTGCTCTCAACGAGCTCTGAACAAACCTCAAAGAAGGCCTACTAGACATGATTTTTAGATTGGGCAATATCAGATCGAGCCGGATTGCTAGGTCTTACAATGCTAGGCTTAGATAAAGGCTTGAAGGGCAGACGAGGGTAAAAACGAGTGCTCAAGAACCTCGAAGACAAAACACAAATTTAAAAAAAAGAGCTGAAGCTGGTGCTAGAAAATGTAGAATTTTAGTACTAAAACCCCTGGAACGGCGCTGAAGCTAAAGCTGGAACTGCAGCTAAAATTTACAAAAAAAATGAGCTGTACCTGTAGCAAAGCTGGAAATTTTAAATTTAGAAATTCTAGTTACATTTATCTTTCTATATAAGGTGAGCATCTGTATAAGTACAGTGGTCTCTCTATATAGTGAACCATCTGTATAAGCAACTCTCCTTATAGTAAACAAGAAATTTGGCTTCGCCAAGTCAATTTGCACTAAAAATCACTCTGTAAATACAACAGCCCTTATAGTAAACACAAAAAATGTCTATTCCTTCGGGTTGCTTATATAGAGAAAGTACTGTAACTCTCTTAGTAAACACAAAATTTGGCCTTACCAAGTCAATTTGCACTAAAAATCACTTTGTAAAGGCAATACTCCTTATAGTAAAAAACAAAATCTTAGTCTTTTCGGGTTGCTTATAAGAGAGGATACTGCATATTAATACATAATATTATTTTTTAACACAAATAAAACTCATAAGTGTAATTATATTAAAATAATGTTAGTATTTTATTTTTTTAAGTTTAATCAAATGGTATCGTTGTTGCTTTCAAATTTACACGTTTCAGGTCAAGTAAGACTTGAATCTGATGATTACACGCGCAAATTTGCTGTTTGTTCAACGATTTTTTGTAAGGAATCTATCTCTAACTGTTCCTGTGATATTTGATCGGCTTACCTCTAGTACAAATACTTTAGGTTCAGTTCAACATGATTAGAGCGACACATTTCTCTGAGCACAACACGAGGTCTTCAGGCATTTTTTGTTGCATTCTTGGATACGGTAGTTTTTTATGATACTCTCACCGTGTTTTTTAAATTTGAAAATATATTTTACATTTAAAGTTAGTCTTTCTGCTAATAAATATTTGAAAAAGTTGAACTTAAGTACTGCTTTAAAGACTGAAAAACTGTTTTTTGGTCAGAATTGTAACATTACACGCCCAGAATGCTCAATACATTTTTTTTTGTATTTTTTGTTGTTTTAGAGACATTGAAAGAAAAGTACGTCAAACTTGAGAATAAGCTGCGTAGGTTGAAAGAAACTTAAGCATTTATCTTTTCTCGACGGTTTTTAAGGATTGGCTGGAAAACATTTTATAGTTTAGGTAATTTTTGGTTTAAAAAAGAGCTGTAACAAGGATGAACTATACCAAAAATTTTGTTGGCCAGACCAACAGGTCAAGTCTTGATCTTGACTTGGCCCTTTGTTTCCTTTGAAGGTTCACATGCGCCAGTTTGGCCTTTTTCAGCCTTGCTTTGGCACAGACAAGGCTTAGGCGAGCTCTTCTTCAGATTGTCTCACGTTCTGAGTTTTGTTTTGGGTCTCTGCCCTCTGGCTCGAATACATCAACCCAGCTGGCTTTTTTTTAAATTTGCTTTGGACCGACCTTACCTTGTGTGCTCTTTGTCAGATCGGCTTACATGATAGCCTTGATTTGGTCCTAAATAGCTCAAAAAACCAAATACTTCAGCACGGCTTCTTTAAGAGTTCCTTTGACGGGAGTCGGGCCTGGGCCATACCGAAAGATTTTTTTTCTAATTTAGCCACACTAAAATGGTATTATTGTTATAGGTAACTTTTTAGCTATAACAATATGTATCATATAAACTTTCTACCTACAAAATAATTTTGTTTTATATGTTATTATACCTCGATATCAAAAACATTAAAGCTTCCAATGACTAATAGACCTTTTCCTAATCCAAATAAACCATAAGTATGACATTGTTTGATCAGACGGATTCGATTCCACGTCCCAGCTTTAAGAATCGTCTAATGAGCATTTAATTTTTTAAAATTAAGCTTTTTCGTCTTTTGCAAACATTGAAACGTTTTTTGAACTTTTGCTTGTATTGGGGTTGCACTACAGCAAAGATTACTGTAACATTTGTGAGCACTTTAACTTTTTTTATACTTTGATCTATATTGTAGTTGTAGCTAAAGTCTGAAGGGTAAAACAGGACTAAAGACAAAAAATGTTTTACAATATATTAATTTGGCGAGGACAGGGTAAAGATAGGGGTAAGAAACGGGTTGAGTCGGTCGCACTTTGAGGGGGGGGAAGAAGGGCTGTTTTTATTTTTTCTCAGGCCAACTCGTCCCGCTGTTTAAAAAATTTGAGTTTGAGGCGACTTTTCATGCCCAACTTTGCTTCTTTAGAATATACAGTAACCACCAAAGCCATTACTGTAACTGTATTCTTTTTAAATTCAAACTTTTGATTTTTTCATCAAAATATACTGTAACAAGCTTTTTTACCACACAAGTCAAGAACACTAGAGTAAAACGTAACCAATATGATGTACATGTTGATATACATGTATAATATGTATATCCGGCCGCAAACACGGCGCCTTTTCCGAACACCGGAACCATTCGAATTTCGGAAGAAAATGGCCAATTTCCTTGAGGGAACACTGAAAAGGGCCATAAATCCAGAAAAAGGTAACATTGTGGCTGGATAAAACTTTCCTAATTGGCCATACTATGCTCTCGTTCGGTCTGGGCCACAAGAGTTCCAAAAGGTAGAGTTGCTAATTTTAGGTATTAAAAGTAAAGTCCGAAAAGTAATGCCGGTTATACGTAGGTAGGGTTTTATGGAGTTCTGGTTAAACGTACGTAGGTTGGTGAAGAACTTGGGTTTGTATGTTTAATATGAAGTACTTTTTGAGTAAAATTTACTTTTTTATAAAAAAACAAACATCAAAGAGAGCATGTATGATCAAAAAATTAGGTTTTGAATTTCTCGCTAAATTGGCATTGCGTTTCGAGCTTATAGCTTTGCCACTTTTTGACTTTTAATTATTTTTCTTTGATATACTAGCAAAAAATCTTTAAATGAACATACATTTTTAAATTTGTTAGCGTAGCTTGTCTGGAAAGTTGAAAACGTTGCTTTAAATACAATGACATATGTCGCCAAATTGACGAAAATTTTAAATATTTTTATTTTTTAAATTTAAAAGTGCGAGCTAAAATTTCTTATGGGTACTAGTCATGGTACAAAGAATTAATTTAAAAACTTTGAGCTGATTTTCTGTAAGCAGGTTGAGTACATAGTTAACATAAAGTTAAAAAAAAACAATCAAAAAAAATTTTTTTTTAATTTTTACATTAAATTTTTGATAAATTTTTTGAAACGACGTGCGGTATTTTATATAGAATGCTAAAATAAAGAATATATTAGTCTTTGGACTTTTCTTTCAAACTTTGGGTATCTAAAATGAATAGAGTTTAGAAATTTACAGAAATCTGTGTGGTAACATTTAAAAGTGTAATCTTTGTACGAATACTTTATTTTTACTTATTTTTAAATTAAAAAAAAGGTTTTCGAATTTATTTCATAAAAAGAAGTTTACTATGTATGGCTTTTTAGATAATACATGTATTTTTATTGAATACTGGCAGTTTAATTGTAAGGCTGCTGTTTTTGTCCATATAAGTGATATAGGAAGACATGTTTAGCTTAGAAAAGAAAAGTTATTGTTTAGAACGGTTGGAAGATACAGTCAAACCTCTTTAGTATGACACTCCTTGATGGCTATCTTTTGTCATAAAGACTTTGTCAGTAGGACTTCTTTAGTACATTACCTTCTACCTCTAAATACCGTTTTTAATGGTAATAATGTGGGCGATATTAACAGATTTGCATTAGGTAAACAAGATTAACAGTTGTGCCATTTTTGGATTCCGAACGTCTACATACATTGGCTTTCAATTTTGTGAAATTTTGCTTTTTGGTACGTTGAGATGTTTTTTTTTACATTTTTTGTACTACATATGATTGAGAAAGTTTCTTTTTAGTCTACTAACAGTATATTACTGCTTTCTAGGTTACTGTAAGGAATACTTGCAGCATTTCAGTCGCTCTAGCGCTATGACATTTCTTTTTGTTACTTTTTTAAAATTAACATTATATCTCCATAATTTATTAGTTTGTATAAAAATTAATGAGCTATATTTCTCATAGCAATATAAAGTTTAGTAGCTCATTACTTTTTATACGATTTAGTACTTGCTTTGTACTATGTAGTTTGCTTTGTTAGTATCTTTTCAGTACTACAATAAAAGTATGTTTTTAGTACCACATAAGACCAACTTTTCTTACGGTATCTAGTCCAAACCTTGTTGCCAATTTAAGTAAACCTAAAAATGACAAACTTTATGTTTGTATTAAAGTGGTTTCTTCTCTTTACACGACCAAAGAATGCCTTTTTTGGCCGAACAATTTCCGCATTCAACAGAAAAAACAGCTGTCTAATAGTACGTCTACTTGAATGCCTTGTTCCGAACACTGCTGTAATGCAAAATGTGAAGTATAATCATCACATGAGTGGCGATTATACTTTACTCTTTTTTGAGTGATAATATAGGTGTAACTACATTATTTTTGGAGTAAATAGGAAAAGGTTAATGTAGTTTTAGTTTAGGTTTGTATAGTATGGGTATATGTAGTTGGACTCAATAAACCTTGACAATAACTAACAAGGAAAGTCCTAACCTCCTCCGCTCTTGAATTCAAACTTTTTAGATAGAAAGATTATGTAAATATAAGACTTGCAGCAAAATACTAAATTGAGCTTGTCAATCTTAAGAAAAGCAACTTCAAAAATTACGTTTTGAATTACCCGCCGTATTGGCATAGTGTTTCAAGCCTTATAACTTTGTCATTTTTTGACTTTTAATTATTTTTCTGTAATATACTGGTACAAAACCTTTAAACGGACCTACATTTTTAACTTTTGTAGGTTTATCTTGTCCAGAAAGTCGAAAAAATGCTTTGAAACACAATGCCAAATTAGCGGAAACTCGAGTCTTTAAATTTTAAAACTCAAAAGTGCAAGCTAAAATTTTTTATGGGTACTATTGGTAGTACGAAAAATTTATATAACAACTTTGAGCTAATCTTGAACGTGGCAGGTTGATTACTTTTGGGACATAAGATATACTATACTGTTTACAGAAACTTACTCTGCAAAGATTGTTTTTCTTTTACAAAGAAGCTTCTTCAAAAGCCTTGCTTGTTGCGTTTTACAATTTCGTTAGGCTAATTTAAAAAAACTGTCAAAAATAAACAATATAAACGGTTTGATGTCAAGACAAAGTAGAGTTGCACATATACAATCTGGAGTTCCGACTTTTTTTTCTTATTCAAGTTACAATTTAAGTTTACCTATTAATACTGAAGCTTTATTTTAACATTATCATTAATCTTTGCTCGTTATACTCTTTATGCGTCACGGTAACACATTGATTTACACTTTTAACTATTGAGCTTTGTAAAAAATGTAACGATCAATGATTTTGAAATACAATAGTAATGTTATGCAATGAATAATTGTGAAGTAGAAGTGTTATATATAGATGAGATGTCACATTTTATATCGTTGAAAAAGAAAATGTAAAACCTCATTTTCTGTCAAAGTTGTTACCTAAATTAAAAGGTATTGTTTTAGGCAAAGCCCGAGAATGAGCGAAACTCAAGTTGTGGAGCAGTTAAGCGTTGAGAAGCTGGATGATTCGGTGAAGAAGGAGATGACTGATAGTGGGATTCAAGAGAATAACTACAATAGTAAGTTTTTTTTATTTTATTGTAAAGCTGACAACCTTTTTTTTAATATTTTTATTTTTTAGATAACACTTTATACACTGTAACTATATATATTTTAAAAATCTTTAAAAAGTTTTGTTTTTTGTAGAAAGTCTGGAATCTTCATTATCAAAACCATCTGAAAAACCTTCTCCAAACGGAGATGTTTACCATGAAAATGGTCACAACGACAACTCTGACCATTTCCAGAACCACAATGCTGATTTAAAAGCTGAAGAACATCCTGAAGAAGACTTTGAACACATTAATTTGGATTCAGAAGTTGTGAAGACAGAAGAGCAGCCATTTGATGCTGATAAGAGTTTTGAAGATGCTGTTAGTGAGATCAGTGACAAATTAGATGCAAAGGTAGAAGAATATCTGGATCAGCTGGATGAACAAGAACAGAAGGTGCTAGAAGTCATTGATAATGTGCTGAACAAACACAAAAGTGTCGATGAAGACAAGGAGGGTCGTAGTGAAAGTGGCGGTGTTAAACAAGGTGAAGTTAACAATGGCGGTGCTGATCAAGATAAAACTGATAGTAGTACCGATCAAGCCGAAAATGTTAATGTTGATCAAGGACCACATGAACATACTAGTACTGATGGCAAAGATAGTACAGAAGACGTCAATCAAGAAGGCGTACCCCAAGACGCTACAGAACCTTCAGCTACTGAACCTGCTGAAAGAAACGATTTAGACAACCGTGTTCATGTTCAGCTGACTCCAGAAGCTCTGGACGGCGTTACTGTAGAAGAAAATACTAATATCGAAGACAAAGTTAACGTAGAACAAACTGAAGAGTCTAAATTAAAAGATTCTGTAAAGAAAGAAGCTACAGAAGCTTTTGAAAAAGAAGAGACACATCTACACAATACGGAATCTGAGTCTTCGCTACCAATTGAAGAGAATCCTCATGATAAACAAAATCAAGGAGAACAGTATAAACAAGACGAAAGTAATGTAGAAGCTACGCCAGAACCCGTTGACAACATCGAAGAAACGTTTGAAAAAGTAGAAACGGTACCTTTAGCTGCAGAAGGCGCTACAGAATTGGCTGAGAAAAAATCAAATGATAATATTGTAGTTCATAGCCAAGAAGCTTCAGAACTAGCACAAGAACAACTTGTTGATAAAGTACCAGAGAAAGAACAAGAAAAAGAAAGCACCAACGTTGCACCAGTAGACTCTGTGAGTTTAGTTTATGAAGCAACAGAAGCTGCAACTCGCTTAAGGAACGCTTCAGAATCAGAAATCATCGCTGATACTCCAGAACGAGTTGTTGAAGAGAATAACGAACGGTTAGAAGAGGAAACAGCTAAACAAGATTCTGAAGGTTTATTTGAATCACAAGAAGTTAGCCAAGAAGCTGAAGCAGATTTTGAGTCTCAAGATTCTAGACAAAAATCTGAAGCTCTTTCTGAATCTCCAGTCGCTCAAATTGAAGGCGCGTTGGCTGGTAATACCAATGTTATTGACGAAAACAAAGAAGAATTTAAAGAAAACCCAGAAGAAACAAAACAATCAACAGAATCAAACGAAGAAGCACGAAAAGTAGAACAAGAAGAAGAAAAAGCAGTTGAACAAAACCAACAAGTAGATGAATCTTTGCCTGTAACTGAAAACGCATCAGACGGCGCAGAAGCCAATTTGGCGGCAAATGAAGGCGCCAAAACACCGGAGATCTTCATAGAACAACATGATGAAGATTTGACACAAAATGAAGCAATTGAAGACCAAAAAGCAGCTGAACCAAATAATGAATTTGTTGATGAGCCAGTTCGTGTTGAACAATTACAGTCTTCTGATGCTGTAGAACCTAATACTGGGCTTGAAAGTGAAGTTGATGCTAAAGAAACCGCAGAAGCTGAAGGTGAAGTTGTTGCTGAAGGTCAAGCTGAAATTAAGGTTGATAGTTCAGATAGTCAAGTAGCCCCTGTAGAAGCAAATAAAGCTTCTTCTGAATTCAACAATGACGCTGTCGCTGCTGAATCAGAAGCTAAAGAAGAGGATGTAGCTCAAAAAGCATCTGAAACTCAAGACTCTCCAGTTCAAGACAATGTTGAAGAAACGTTTGAGAAAGTAGAAGCTCCAGTACTAGAACAACAACCAAATCTTGATAAAAGTCCTTCAACTGACACTTTATTGGATGAGCAACAACCTCAAGTTGTAGTTAATTCAGACGTGGCACCAAATGCTTATGACAACGTTACTAAATTAGAAGTTGTGAATGGTGAAGTAGAGCATGAAGAAGAACATAAACATGAAAAGACTGGTGTTGCTGGCAAGATTCTTAAAGTGTTCCACAACCTGATCGATCGACATTTGGTTGAGCAATGTAAGTTAACATTACTTTTTGATTTTACAGTAGGGTATGGTATGGTAGGGTGAAATAAGGTAGAATAAGGTAAGGTAGGGTCGTCTATCAAACTGTTTAAATAATTCTGTGCCCCTTTCAGATTAAATTAATAATATTAGAGAGCACAGAATTATTTGAACAATCTCATAAATGAGCACAGACGTCAAAATCCAGAAAACAAAGAACAGAAGTCGTCTGAAATTCTGTAGGGATTCCCAGTGGCTCTACCGTTTGTTGTTACCTAGCTATGTTTTTTCCTGTTAGCGACAAAACAATTTGGAATGGTTTCACATAAATAATTCGTCTTTTTCCCGCTTTATCTACATGATGATTCATTCTTTGTCAAAGAGTTAAATCAGTATTCAAAACTTGTTCTACGTGTATTTAAATCTACTTACATGAGTTTTGAACTATTTTAGGTATTAAAGTTGATTCTTAAGCTTTAAAAAGTGTTTTTTTAAGATTATTTTTTTAAATAAAAGGCTTTAAAATACAATTTTTTATATTTTTAAAAACTATTTTTAACTTTTAAAAGTTCAAACCTAACTAAATATTTATTTTACGCTAAGAATATTGATCTATAACGCTGTCTAAACCTAAATATAACAAAGATTGATTAAAAACTCTAAAGTAGTACTAGCCCAAAATAATAATTTCGTGGTAAGATATACCACAGAATTGCTTTTAATTCGTTGTTTTCGACTAAAAACTTTGCCTTTACTACTTCATTTCGAACGTAATGGGGTTACGAAGTAAATCTAAATCTCCAAAACCTGAGAATCCCTTTTCTCAGATGCAAGTTGGAGATGTTGTTTCAGTACAACTGACTGAACAGTGGCTGAAAAGCAATCGTAAGTTGACTTTGGATGGAATGTCAATTGGTATTATTGATTTGATTTTGGAAGTATAAGGGCGTTGTTATTCGTTCTTCACTTTTACAGTAGGGTAGGGTAGGACAGGGAGGGAAGAGTAAGACAAAAAGCAGGGCAAAGGCAGGGCAAAGGCAGGGCAAAAGCAAGGCAAAGGCAGGGCAAAGGCAGGGCAAAGGCAGGGCAAAGGCAGGGCAAAGGCAGGGCAAAGGCAGGGCAAAGGCAGGGCAAAGGCAGGGCAAAGGCAGGGCAAAGGCAGGGCAAAGGCAGGGCAAAGGCAGGGCAAAGGCACGGCAAAGGCAGGGCAAAGGCAGGGCAAAGGCAAAGGCAGGGCAAAGTGAATCCGAAGAAAAACGGACTGAAAGTTGGGTTCTGCCCGACCCTTTTACAAGTCTACCACTAAAAGTTATATTAAACACAATAGAAATATTGCTTTTGTGTTATTTTAAATGCCATGCCATTAAATTTAAAAATAATGTAGAATGTCACGCCTTAGTAAAACAAGGAATTGTAAGAATGGTAAGCACGATGCCAACATTATCACGCCTTTTGTTTTTCGATGTAAACAACAAATATTTAATTAACTTTGCATATACGCAGATACCACTACTCGATAAAATTCCGTTGTTTTTTCACGCCGAATGAGGTCGTCTATTGAATTCGAAAACAAAACATTGCTATCAATGCATATTAAGGTATAATATGATAAGTGAGGAATGAATTAAGAAGAGGCGAGGGTTTTACTTTAAGGTTTGAAAGGTAGAGAAGGGGTGCTTTTTTATTGGTAGATTTTCTTGTAAAACTTGGACGGAAAGGGAGCGGGTGATAAAGGAGAAAAGGAGAGATATCATTATTTTTTAGGAGAAGCTAAAGGGTATCAGGTAAAACTGGCAGTAGAACAACTTCTTGTGTTAAGGTGGGCCTTGATTACTAATTTTAAATCGAGACTATCACTAACTTAAGGAGGAGTAATAAGTTTTTTATCTACAATAACATAAATAATGTGTTTATGATTACTATCTGTTTTTGTTTGGTTGAGTTGATAAAATCAACCATACGTTGAGGAACTGAGTATCAGTAGTTGGTTTAGTTGATATGAAGTTTGGTAGGCAAAGGGAATAGAAAAAAATGTTATGTACGGTATTATGATTTATAGGCAGTATCTAGGTGCCTAATATACGATATTATTTTATATAGGCAGTACTTAAAAATCGTTTTGAGTTAAGTATTAAGTTGTTCAAATAATTTTGTGCTTTAAAAAGATGAAAAGATCTGCTTTGAGAAAGAGCACAGAATTACTTGAACAACGTAATAGACTACAACATGAACAACATGATAGCTTTTTTAAAGGGGGGGGGGTAGCTAGATAGACTAAATGTTTTTTTAAAGCGAAGAGGGGGTGTTTTCTAAAAATTTTTATCATTATTTTTTTAGGATACTACTTTGTGTCAAGGATTAGAGGGTGGATATAACATTTTTCTTCATTTTGTGTTTAAATAAAGTTAAAGTAATTACCGCAAGCCACATTATGCAACTTGTAATGTGGCTGTTCCGGCGCCAGATTTTATGAGTTTTTAAATTTTTTTTGTTTTTCTTTATTTTTGAAGACGAAAATCAACTTTTTTATGTTTTACAATACTGTTTGTCACCTCAAGTATTATTTTGGTATATTATGTTTTTCAAATAATTCTAGGCCCTTTACCTTGACAGTTTGTTTTGAAATAAGGCACAGAATTATATAAACAACCAAATATACTGGGTGCGTAAAAAGTTGTGTTACAAAACTTGACCGTTGAAAACTTTTTGAAGCGTTTGCGCTTGTGTCAAGCCGCAATTTTGAAACCGATAGACTGTTTTATAACTAGTACTATATGTTACTATTGTTAGTTGTTGTTTTAGTTATATTTGTAGCTAAAATAAATATTTGATTAAAAAACCGGGTAACACGCACCCTGTATTAGCTATAAAGCCTAATTTTAGTTTTAAAGTATTAAGTTGTTTAAATAATTCTGTGCCCTTCTGATTGACAATTTGCTTTGAAATAAGGCACAAAATTACATGAACAACCTAATAAATAAGCTAATGAGCCCAATAGTATCCTCCCAAGCAAACCCAGCCAAAACACTTAATGTCAGCGTTCCGAGCCGAGACTTGTTTACAGATTTAGTTGTTGCCACTTCAAAATGTAAAAATTTACTCTTTACATTCGAAAGTAATCGCTTTTGGTATTTATGGGCCGAGTTGAAACGAGAAAATAGTATTAAAGACTTTGGGCCGTGTTCGCTTGAGAGGCAGTATCACATGCCCAACAGGGAAATTATGGCCGTCAACTTTGAATTAACACTTTGAGGAAGGCAAAAGCAAATTCAGATTTATTGCGATGTACTTTTAAGGGATGAGAGGGGATAAATTTATTTTGGCATGGCTTTTTTGATTTGTTGTTCGAGAAGGGTGGAAAGAGGGGGTAAATAAGAAAGAAAAAAATTTGTTAGGGGGGGGGGGCGTTAGGTATAAACAAAATAAAAAAAAATTTTGTAGGATAGGGCAGAGTAGAGTAGGTGAGGTTAGGAAAGGGTAAGGTAATAAATAAAAAAACATTTTTTTTTCTGTTTTTGAAAATGGTTTGTCAAGCTAAAACTAGGTAACATAATGTATAATATATGACTTGACACTATATTAGCTAATCAAAAAAGTCTTGTCGTTTTTCACCATTCAATTCAGTACAAATTAACGACAAAACTTTTTTTTTCAAGGTAATAAGATTATAAAAACACTTTACTATTATGTTGTTTAAATAATTCTGTGCTCCTCACTCCAAAAGTTTTCTTCAAGGCACAGAATTATTTGAATAACCTAATAAAAAGCTTATTTTAAACAACAAAACTAAATTTGTTTATAGTCAAAAAACGTATTTTTAGAAGTATAATATAAGTTAATTGGGTTGTAGCTAGAACTTGTTTTTTATGGCTCTACGTTGACATAAAGTGTAGGTGTTTACCTCGACTGGAACGTTCCACTTTTATTTTTTGTTTATATGAAATTACATTTTTTTGAAATTGGTGCTCAGTTGGATACTGAAAAAGTTTTTAGAAGAGGACCGGAAAAGCATGCTTAAAATAAGGTGAGGTAAGGTTAAAAAGGGTGGGTGGCTTTTTAGAGGATGTTGGAGGGGGGGGAGGGGGGGGAAGGACCTTTATTGAATTTTTCTTAACTCTAAAGGTATTTCATGTTCATATGAGTTAAAACTTTTTAAAATTTTACAATTAGATTACAAAACTTTAAAGTTATAGAAGATTAGGTAACAAAACTTTCCAATCAAATATATTCCTCCTTGTAATACTATGATGTTTGTTTTAAATTTGTATTTATTAAGTTTTTCAAATAATTCTGTGCCCCCTAATTTCAAAAATTTTCATTAAAAGGGAGCACATAATTACGTGAACTACCTAATAAACAACCCCCTAATATGTGGCAAACCTTGGACTCGGTGAAGTAAACAATGTTTACCGTTCCCTTTCGTTGAAAGGTTACACTCAGCGTGAATCAGCGTGACAAATGATGCCTTTTCCGCTTAGATTAAACTTTAATGGACGAGGGTGGTGTTCGGACGGCGCCCCGCCAACGTTCCAAGTCCTATGCGCGCACCCTGAAATCGCTTTTTTCTCCGCCGAATCAGAAGAAAAAACAGCCGAACAGGCGTCTGACTTCACGGTGTAAGTTCTTCTTTTTATGTGGGTTTTGTCGCTTTTTTAACCTTGAGAAGGGAGGGGGTGGGGTGGGGAGACGGGCAGAAAGGAGGGGTGTGAAGACAGGCAGAAGGGAGGGGTAGGGGGACGAAAAAAGAAAAAGTAATGGGACGAACAAAAGGGAGGGGTAGAGAGATGAAAGAAACAGAGGGGTGAGGAGACGAACAAAAGGTGGGGTGGGGGACAAACAAAAAGGGAGGGGTGCGGGGACGAACGAGAGGCCGGGGTGGGGACAGTCGGAGCAGCAAAAGAAACCGTTTCGATTTTGATTATTATTGCGGTTTTTGCCCTAACGCAACCATCATGTTGAACGAACACGGTAAGTCGTGGGGTTAGGCTAGGGTTAATAATGTGTTCGCTATATCATGTAAGCTTAAACGTATGTAGAGGAGTTATTGTAAGCATAAAATTAAAATAGGTAGGCTTAAGATTAAGCTTAACCATACTTTGTTTTGAAGTTTTTAAACCACGTTTTTGAAGCCTTAAGGCC